TTTTGAAAAGCTTTAATTTTTCGAGGGAGAAGGGGATCATGAGCTGGGATAAAGCAGATTTTGTTTGTGCCCTTTTCTAACATGATCTTACCATCACTTTCATCATATCCTAATCCTATAAGAACCATTGCTTGGCTTGCTTTGAAACTCATGATATGTTTTATCTTGTCTATAATCCCATGAAAGAACCAGTATCCAGCAGGCCATCCATATGTTGTAATTCCTTTAAACAGCAGGTACGGATAAGCTGTAGGAAGCACAGCACTCTGTGACAGAGGAAACTACGTAAGAGGTGGTTGTATCCATCTTACAAAAGAGAATTTTCATTTGCAGAAGTTCAGATTAATATTTATATATGCATGCATAATTCATAGTTCATATATATAATAATTCACTGGTTTTTGTGCAAAAACCAGATCAGCAGCTACTTAATAATTATCTTCATTCTTGAACATATCAGGCACCTCGACTTTAAGGCCGTCAACGGGGTATGTATTATGGTACATCACAATCACACCAGCTGTACTAAGTTGTGAGGTTAACTATAACTAACTCCAACACTACAGAAATTTTGGCCGTATCTGGTAAGCCATGTAAACTCAATCTAGATTTTCCACCAGATAATTATATGATACAACGTTGATTTCCATTGCAAATTAAAAGTAATTGGAACCAAGCCATAAATTGCAATGAATGGAAAAAACTAAAGTCAATTAAGTGTAAAGAAGTCTCTGAACCTGGATTGTAAAACCCAGTGAAGAAGTGTAACATGAAGAGATGGATGGCCCTGGCCTTTCTTGAAATGGCATGTTAAACACTTTCTTTCTGTCTAATCCGTAGCCATTCAGTGGTGCAGGGCTCCCAGCAAGATAAGCCACGGTATTCCCGTTACAGCTGAATCCAGATCCGAGTGCTTCTGAAAGTTTTAGTCCTCTCATTTGTGACTGGAAGAGTATCTTAGTTGTGCCAAAAACTCCAGCTGATCAAACCAAGTCTAGAAATTGTTAGAATCTCTGTGATCAAAATTTCCAGAAGATACCTACTTTGACTGTTTCTTACCTGATAGAATTACAAAATCAGAGGTGATATAGTCAATCTCATTGAAGTAAACAAGCCATCTTCTATTTTTTCTTCCAACTTTTCCTTCATATTGGAAGCTTTCATGCAGGTTTCTAACCACATACTGCACTTGGCATTCTGTTTTAACAACGCATCCTGCCTGCTTCACAAGAAACACTGGTTTTAGTGGAGAGGGTGACCTAAAAACTTAAACAAAAACGTCTCTTACATCCTAATGGATATTATTATTTCCTCCACATATATAGTATAGCATAAGACATGCCTGGATTGCGGAACGTAGATAATTTTTATCGGTAGAACTTTTGGCATTATAAGGACATCCAGAAAGACAGTTTCCACAGGCTAAGCAGGTACCCATTGCATCGGCTAGTGGTTCTTCAGGGTCAAAATTCACACTTAGCTTCACCGAAGTATCAAAAGTTTCTCCAATCTCTCCATTAGAAACTTCTTCCATAACTTTCGCAATAGGAAATTTGACAGGAATACTCTGTGCTTTCAGCATGGCTGCAGCAGAAGCCTCACAGTTATCCCAATTTCTTTCCCATTCCTTTGGCCACTTTGGATGCCGTCTCGCACGAACTGGTGTTGGAACCATAACTCCTGCATTTACTAGTGAACCTCCACCAAGCCCACAGGCAACTGCTGCTAGAGAATCATTTTGCTCATATACCTACACTTTCATCATAATAGATGCATTTTAAGTAATCACATAGGTTTTAACTTCCATGCGACAGAGTTAGAATCTTTTCCAGATGACCTGCCTAAGGTCATATAAATTGATTTTAAAAAATCCACTCAAAATGTCTGGCGATATTATTCCCTTATAAGATCCAGTAATCACTGAATATGAGTTGTTTATGGTGTTTGACAGCTCCCAAATCCCAAAACAAAACACTATAGTCACGTTGTATTTACGTTTAATATATGAGTTGCAAGGTGCAAGGTTTTGGGAAAACTGTATATGTTTCTAAGTTGTAGTAAAAACATCTGTATATACACAATAGTAAGCAAGTAACATCAGAAATTAAAGGAAATAAAGACCCCATGACTAGTGGGATATAAATTGAACAAAGGAAGGACAATATACCGTGGAGATATTGCCCGAGCTGCACTCTCTAACATAATGAGATAACAGCATGAAAAAGAAACAGAGGAAGAGAGAATAACCTGGAACAAAGCATCTTTTGGTCCAAAGCTAATGCCTAGGTTCTGGTTCTCCATCCTCATAGCAGACAAGATTTTGGAGCTATCAGTTGGAAAGTCCTTAGATTCCCATATCCGGCCTTTCTCAATTAGACATACATTTACGCCTGCCATAGACAACCGACAAGCAGCAATAGAACCACCATAGCCAGACCCCACAACAACTGCGTCGTAACCCTCTTCGTGTCCATCATCAAAAAATCCTTCTTTTGTTGCTTGTTTCTCCATTTTCTTTTAAGTCTCAAATCAAGAAGTCAGGGAAATTTCTTATTTACGGTCAAAGTCTTACAAAGGGTGGAAGGGAAGTAATGGAGTACCAAACGACAGTCTGAGAGATTTAGTCTCAGATTCAAGATACCTTATAGCTGAGTATACTGCCAACATGGAAAGTACTGGATATAAAATTTTGTTTCTTAGTGCCCTTTTTTAATAGGTGTAATAGCAACTTCAACTTCCTTTTTTTTAGCTTTGAAGATTACAACGTCCTTTTTTTTTTAGCTTTGAAGAAACCAATGAGTTTAGTTAAGACAAAGTTGAGAGAATGATTACCTAGTAATAAGCTCCTAGACAATATCATCCCAATGCCTTGGCCTGTCAAACATATAACATCCAAGAAACAGCAAATATAATGTAGTCTAGCAGCACAAAGGACATAAATCAGAACAATATAATGTAGTTTAGTGTTGTGTCTGCCTGTTAAAAAGCACCTTAATGGTGTTTCTGGACAATCCCAGTCCTTTTTTGCATTGAATGTTGCAGAAGCAGACACAGTTGTTAAAACTTAAGAGGGTTGCTTGGAGTTCACAAACATGTTCGCACATTCGGTCACGACAGCACAAAAATGTACAAGCAACAAGAACCATTATCTGTTTGCTGAAACCAAACTTTCACTGAGACCAAATTTATTTGGACTTAAGAAAAGTACAAATATTTGAATTACATAAGAAAGCGCATATAATCACAAATATATGGCAAACTTGTTTACACTCTAGCGATTTCAACCGACTTCTGAAGAGCCTGCATAAGACTTCTCATGATTCTTGGCTCACCAGGAGGCGTCTTATCCTTCAAGCGTCCATTTCTCACAGCTCGGAAAATGGGCCCAGAATCAGCATCTGCTGGAAAAACCAAGCAATCTATGTACACAAGGACCTCGGTCTCCCCGTCCCCAATTGTAATAAAACCCAATCTAGTCCCACCTGCAATTTTGTCCACCTGTTCCATTGCAATGCCCACAAGATTATTCAATCCATTACATTTTGCAAGGAGGCTGAGATATGTCACAACCCAAAGAAGCGCATGCCATTAGCAACATGTTTGTGTTGTCCAATGTGTCCATGCAATTAGCAACAAAAATATTAATGCAAACACCCAACATATGTCACAACCCAAAGACAAAAGGATTAGTCAATAATTAGACTCAGATTGACCCAGTAGTTCACCGATGTTGGACTCAACAAGCTATCACAGTCTAGGGTGTTACAACATAGCTAAGAGACCATAAATTTAAAATGAAAATGAAAATGAAAGAAAAGAACTGAATTGTTGAGTAATGTGTACCTTTAAAGGCGAAGGGAGAGGCAAGTTAGCTCCTTGGGCGAGACTATTAGCCCACTGTTAAACAAAACACAGCATCTTTTACTTTCAACAAAAATATGAAAAAAAGCGCTAGAAGGAGGGTTCGAACCTCCGACCTTGTGGTTAACAGCCACCCGCTCTAACCAGCTGAGCTATTCCAGCTTTGATGACAGAGTATACGCTTTAAATGATAAGTACATAACACAAAAATAGTACCTGGAAGAGCAAGATCTGGAATCTGGGAACGTCGGTATCTGAGGGCAATTTCATGGTCCCAAGCAAGACGCCATCTTCAGCGTCGTCGGAAGGGACGAGGCTGTTTCTTTCCTCATACGACGCCCTGGCCGGTGTCGTTTGATTTGGGCGGAGGCAGTGGCCGGAGTGTAAATTTAGCTTGGGGAAGAAGCCGTGGCTGGTGGTGGTGGTGGAAGCTGCCAGTGAGAGAGGGGGAGAGAATGGCACGTGGGAATTGAGACGTGCGGAGTGGAAAGGGAGTGACCTCGCTCCCATAGTCACAGCATTGGCCATGGCTAGTTGAACTGAAGGTAAGTAAATGAAGAGTTTTTTTTGTAAGAATTCAGAGGTAGGTGGGATAGGAGGAAGAAACGAGGAAGGAAGGAGAATGAATTTTACAGGATATGCTGCTTTGCTTTCTTTTCGTCTTCTTTTCCGAGGCGGGAAGGGAATGGTTGGCGAGAAGCGCTTCATACATTTTCCAATCAGTTCATGCCACGTCAGCAAGAACCACGTTTTTTTTCCAACTCTGGTTTTTGTTTTTATTTTTTTTTATTTTTTATCATACAATAATTAATCGAATCTTTAACATATCTTAATTTCAATTACCTGCCCTAACCATTCTTCTCCAATACCATTTTACAATTTATGTGCCACGCCCGAGAGCAATTTCTGACCATTGATTTATGTATAGGCCCCCACTCCATTAACGGTATAAAAATAGCCCATGTATGTACAATCAACGTTAACAATGATTTGATACTTGACACCTTGCATTTCTTCTGTAGATTAGATTAATTTAGAGTTGTTTAGATTATCTTCAAAAACACACACAATATTTAATTAAAAAATCAAATACATCCCACATAATAGATTTTTCTTTAAAAACATCCTCAAACACGCCCTAAGTAACGAGATTTCAATTTCAATGGTCAACTCAGGGAGAATTCAACATTTCAAAGTACAGTAAAATGTGAAAATAAGTCCAATGTGTGAGGTACACATGAAAATCTATTAGTGGTTTGCTCTGCAAATGACAAAGCAGATAGTAAAGCTTTTCAATTAGCTCTGAATTTGTACAGGTAATAAGTTAAAATGGATTTAAACAAATTTGTAAACCACAACTCGTACAACACCAGAAGAGCAGAACAAACTCCTGAAGGTCGACAGTTTTTACAAAGCAAGAGCTGCCCTGCCATCTCTACGAACCAAGTGAAGTGTACTGCTCGTGTTTGAAATTCATTAGCTATGCAGAGGAACAAGTTTCAAGCTTGGGGAGGAGACTTCGCCAAGCATCTGCAATACTATTTGCCAGACGTGCCTGTCCTTTGGCAAATTCGTGGAAAGCAATCCCCATGTCTATTGTTTTTTGTTCCTGAAAACGGACGATCTCTTCGTTCATCAGTCGCACCATTGTTTCAAATCTTCTACTCACTTCTTCACCCTCAGCCTTCAACTGCATCACAAAACCAATTCTAGTCAAATAATGAAGATCCCTAATGTGTACACCATATACGATTGCATCAGCTGACTTGCCTCCTTGTACTCGTGCTCTGCTTCTCCAACCCTGTCTGATCGTGTTAGCATGAGTTTTTCACTGCAAACCAATTGACAAAAAGGGATTAAACCAATCATCAGACCAACAAACAGTTACAGAAAAGAAAGAGCACCATGATCTCTAAATCAACATGGTGAGTGAAATCCAACTCTAGTTGAATCAATTGGTTGTCATCTACAATTTTTTTGCAATTTTTAATCCTTAATCATTTCTTTGTTTACTGAAAAAACTAGAAGAGGCCAGCCATTTTTAATACTGGCTACTTGTCTATGCTTTCGATTTACAAGTGGCCAGCCTAACAGCATATTCAGACAAGCAGAGAAACACAATAGTTGGCCAGATGCATACAGATTTATCTCCTTCAACTTAATTGTTTCAGCAAGTTCACACTGTTGCCTGAAGGCATTTGCTCTCTCAGCTATCGTGGCCTGTTTCAACACACAAAAGCAGAAGGATCAGCAGCTTCTATGACAAATGAAGATTATCCAGAAGGCCAAAATAGGTTGGGAAATAAAATTTTCTACAAATAATTCATAGCCACTTCTTAACTTTTCCAGGATCAGCTTTTATGACATATAAAGATTATCCGGAATGGGAGGGAACAAATTCTACAAGTACAGTGCCGAATGGGCAGGAATAAAATTCTACCAATAATTTGTAACCATGAATTAGATTTTCCCACAGGAACAAATATTGAGGATCAAAATTTAAGCATAACCATACATCTGCAGCATTATCTAATGGGGAAAGAGAAAAATGCAATGAGAGATGATATATTCTGAACACATTAATCAAGTCAAACTGCACTCACCTTAATAGATTGCACAGCGCGAAAATAATCTTTCAAGGGTTCTTCAAAACTCATTAAGAGTTGGTGAGCCTACAAAGAAATACAAGAACAGTAATACTACAATATAACATGATAAGCTCTTAAATAAAATAAAATGCACAACAATATTCAACACCAGGCATATACACAGAGAGGCAACCTCAACAAAATGTACACACTGGAACACTAATTTATGCTGCGTTCTCAATTGAAGCCTACCTCCTTTTGCAGTCTGATTGATAATGCCTCTGACTTTGCCCCAAGCTCAGTGAAAGCCTTTCCAAGAGCATTACCTTCACAAGCTCCAAGGAGCTTGGCTGCTTTCCCGAAATCTGAGAGAGACTGTCCAAGCTCTGCATAAACATAGTTAAAAACAATCAAATTTTATCCTATACACACGTGCTAATTAAGAATAAAGAAGTGAGCACCTGATATAGAAATAATAACTACTATAAAGTTAAGCCTTCATCATTATTACCTCTGTGCCTCTTTACAAGACGGTATGCATGCTTCTGGGCTTCAGCCAAGTGGTTTTCAAGCTCAAAGATGTAGTGTTTCAACTTCTCATATTCTGGATTTGACTCTTCCACTGGCTTTTCCTTTCCAAGAACAACATCGCTCACTTTAGATTGTACATCCTGTCAAACATGCAGGTGCTGTTATTGCTCAATCAGATCATCACTCCAAAAGGAAAGTGTACTAGTTTAAGTGGCCTATTCAGTCCAACAGAGATCATAAATGCACAAGGAATGAATTGTGCAGTGGATAAAGGACTGCTCCTTTTGATTCACTTGACAACAGGCTTAGCAAATTTAAAAAATTTAAAAAATTGAAAGAATTTGAAAGAATTGGATTTATCATCAAGCAGAACTGACTTTACAGAATCCAAATAATGCTCTCAGATGGCTAAAGTGTTATGTTGCATTCAAGACAGAGGTTGCGAGGAGATCTCTTCTTCAAATGTTCCACAACAGATAAATGTTCTGTTTTTCTATTTGGCTACACAATCTCTATAACATAGGTCATAAATATGACAGTGACAATTTTCTACAGATTTTCAGTACTTGAATCAGAAAATTAACCTTACAATGTGCCCAGGTTACTTGTCTAAATTTATTGAAAATGAGAAGTACCGGCTAGAGAATTATGCAAAATAAGAAGAAGTTACAGAATGTTCCTTAATAGCTCATGAAATGCTTTTCTTTTTTTAATGAATAGCTCATGCAAACTGTTCATCTTCGGAACATTGTGCAGAGTCTATGTTACCTTGAAGATTTGCATCAAATCTGCCGGCTTCTTCTTAAAGATACCAGTCTCATGAAACCTTAATCTCTCCATTGTCTGAACAAGTTACAGAAACATGTCAAATACTCTGAAGCCTTTGCACATTATACAATATAAATTCTTATTAGAGGTATGTGTTTGTGCGTGCACAACAAGGAATCAGTTCAGCTATTTTTCAGATGTCCAACACAGGTGACCTATTGACTTTCATAGTAGTGAACTGTGTAACTCAAGGCATCAGTTTAGAAACATCACCTCTTCATCTGCCTGCAAGAAGGTTCTCAGATCCTCACTTTGCTGAAGCTCATGATGTGAAGCTATTCGATTAACAAATACATCCAATGCTTGACGCCTCATCTCAATGAATTCAGCACTGAAACGGAACTTTTCTGCATTAGAAAGACTGAAGTTAGTCCTGTTATATTTAAAATGATTCCAACATAATCTTACTAAAACTTCATTAATCACATTTTACAAAGACTAGGAAAACCATCAATGCATGATCCTTACATAAACCCAAAATAATATGTTCATGTAGCCAACTAGAAAAATGCACAAAGCACCTTGCATGCAATAGGGTTGGGCAGAAGTGTCCTGCTGGAATTCAACTTCTCGCCTCTAAGCCCTTCTTTAGAATACACAATAAACGGATTTGTGTAAAAGAGTGAAAAAGGGTAACCTTTTTAGGTGCCTAATCACTCCAAGCATTTCACTGGTTACAAACCTACAAACAAAAATTCCCACAGGGTGGGGTAACCACCTACGCACTACCACAATGCCTTGACTGGCAATTTCAAACACTAACCAAGTTTTATCCAACTGGGTATGTCAAGCTGTACCATGATGAAGCAAGCAAAATAATTTAGGGGCAGAAAACAATTATGCTCACGGAAATGTAAACATGGCATTTTCTACTTAGTACACCAAGGAATCCTAAGAAAGTGGGTAGAGCGATGTTGTTACCTACAGCACTCTTTTCAGGGAGAGGAGGAATAAAAACTCCTTTGTATTTTTCAAAAAGACGGTCACGTAGCCAAACAAAATCACTGTACCGTCTAATAACAATCTTCTCCGGCCCTTGGTACTCGGGAAAATTTGTCTGCCAAAGCAAAAGTATTCATTAAAAAAGTAATACAAACATAACAGAGATGTCAAAACTCAAGAATATAATCAAGCCTATAAGATTACATCAACAATAGTCACAAAAATAAGATTTTAAGAGCCCGCTTAGAGATTGCAAGCTCAGCCCAAGTCACCAAGCATGTTATTCACAGCATGCTCAACCTCAAAAGATCCATAATAAAAACATAGTTCATTTGCACGCATTTGATAACAAGAATAACTGATTAATGCAACATTGTCCCCAATCCAATCAATAATCAATCTTTCCATCATTAATAAACCAACACTAGACCCAAGTCTTCTGCCAAAACATACGTACAAAACCATTATCCAGAGTCTTGTTAGCTTGTTTCATCTTAGTTAGCAAGGAAATGCTATGGCACATAAAGCTTGAATAATTTTCAATTTTCAGTGCATGTTAAGACCTAATCTAGCATTAACTGAATTGATCATTCGTAATTTTCTTCAACAATCTCATCAACCCATTTCCCTATATCACAAGGTGTGAACTTTTGTCATCCCTAACTGTGAGCTATCAATCAACCATGCAACTATTGTTAATTACGCAATGAACCCCCTCACAGAAACACATCCTGCAATAAACCCTAACCCTGATCAAATTAAGTCTACGACTAACAGCACAAATAGAAAATGAAAATCACGGAATACCTTGGTGATTACACGATAGGAGATATAGGCCTGGACGCCATTGCCCAATTTCACAGGATCAGTCACTGAGACTGACAGGTACGGCTGCGAGGATGGAGATCTAGGGCTCTGCGACGACCCCGATACACTTCTCTGCTGCTCCATACCACACAATCAAGAAGAAGGCAAGTGGAAAATCCAAATTAGGAAACAAATCAACAAAATTAAGACCCAATTGTACAATTTGGGGATAGAAGAAGAGGAAAGAGAGCAGGGGCAAATTTGTAATTACCGTGGTGAGCATCGCGGGTTTGGGGGAGGTGGAGTCAATGAAGAAGATGGAACGAGACGAGCCTCTGCGAGATTTCAATCGGAGAGTCAAACAGAGCGAAAGGGTGGAACTCTGGAACTGGAGCTGCAATTGAAGGCAGGTGTATCTTACTAAAATGCGCCGGGTGTGCGCAGTGCTCTGTTCCGGTGGTCCATCAGTCGACACCAGGAAGGAAATGACTTGGGATATCTTGGTGCGTAAGTGAGTAAGACCAAAGTATTGTATTTTTTATTTTACTTTTTCTTTTGGCCTGTGTGTTGAATATTGGTAAGAACCTATTAAGTTTCTCAAGTTTCGTAACTTTGATTTATAAGCTTAGAAGGAACAAACATTTTCAACCAAATCAAACCCAACTGCAAAAATTAACCTTTCATTTAGTTGTATTTGTGTCTCATTAATTGGAGTAGATTTCATGTTCAACTTACATAATTGAAGAGGACGATATATATATATTGTGATGAGTTCAATACCTAGTTATGGTGTAGTTTTATTATAGATGTATTGGCCCGTTCTAAAAGTATTTTATAAATATCCGACATGGTGGTAGATTGGTCTTTATTTACTTTTTTGTGTTGCAATTTTTTGACTAGTAATAAAATGCATAAATTTTTTATGAGTTTGTCTCGTGTTTGTAGTCACTACTTGTATTTTTATACATCTAGGTTTTTTTTTTCCAAGATTGCAATCTTTTTGCCATAATTTTTTGGATCATGTTTAATTTTATTAGGCTCAAATGTAATAGGATTTATGATTTCACCAAAAGATTGGGATTTAGTTAATCCAGATTTAAACCAACCCGATCGTGCACACCACCACTAGTCTATATCTATAGTAGTAATTCAAACCCTACGCTAATTTCCTTAGATTACACGGCACATTAACATCCATTTTTTCCATCAGGGAGAAAAAATTGGACTCGGATGCGACTTCGTTAATGCCTGCGGGACCCGCCAAAAAAAAAAAAAAAAACTAAAATCCAAACCCCCAAAACTAACGCCCACATCCTTTCCGAAAGCAACTCCCCCTCACGTGGGTCCCACTCCACTCCAACAATTTCAGGTGCCTCCCACTTTCCTTCTCTTTCTCTGCTCTTCTTATTTTACCTCACCCACCACACTCTGCGTCTGTCCGCCACATCAAAACCAAAAGTCTCCTCCTTTTTCTTTCCTCTCTATCCAAAAAAAGAAAGAAAAGAAAATCCACAAACAATGGATTCAACCAGCTTCTGCCACCAACGATCGCCGTCGTCGGATCGCTTCCTCGGCTTCTTCTCATTCTCGCCGCCTTCCTCCGCCGCCGCAGGCGAGGAGCTCAACGAGGCCGAGGTCTTCTGGACCACCGACTTCACCGAGCCCAGCGACGCGCAGAACCCCCGGCTCAGTCTGACGCGCCGGGTCAACTCCGGCATACTCGCGGTCCTCCCGGAGCCAGGTCTCCCGGCTCCGGTCCTGTACCGGAAGCCCGCGCTCTCTTCATCATCGTCGTCGAAGCCCATACCTTCAATTCCGAGATTTTCTCAGTCTCAGTCGCAGTCGCAGTCCGTGCCGACTTCGAGAAAGTTCCAGAGCTCGGCTCCGATGAAGGTTCCCATGCTGTCCAGGGTGGTGGAGAAGCATCGGAGAAACGACGACCTTGCTGATGTCGTAGACGATGATGACGACGGAGACGACGAGATGCTGCCGCCGCACGAGCTGGTGGCGAGGGGGTCGGGGCTGTCGGCGAGGACCACGTTCTCGGTGCTGGAAGGCGTTGGGAGGACGCTCAAAGGTAGGGACTTGCGTCAGGTCAGGAATGCCATATGGCGCAAGACTGGGTTTCTTGATTGAGATTTCAAGCTTTGTTTTTTTGTTGGTTGATCAAGAATTCTGGTGGCTTTTATTATTAATGCGCCAAGAAATTGGGGGTAGTTTTTGTTTAGTGCCCCCATTGTTGTTTTGATTTGCTGATTCTAGATAGCTAAGTAAAGTTCTATGTCTGTCTGCTTCTTGCTCATGTTTCTAATAATTCCTCTGTTCGCTTTGCAAGAATCAATGTCTGGATAATGAAGATCAACTTTTAATCACTGTTGGGAATCTGTAGTTTCATAATCACCAATTAACATGAATTCAAGAAAAGTTTCAATCTCATTCAACACAGTTGTTTCAATCTCATTGTAAAGAATTACTGAATCTAAAACCCACTTTAGAAAACTACACAACAAAACTGCCCAAGTCGACGGATGTTTACATCTACCAGAAACGAGTCAACATAAGTCTGCATTATTTCTTCAACATAAGTTACAGTGTTCCATCTCAAATTAGATTTCTCAAACGTACATTAAAACTCAATTTCTCTCCCCATACATTAGAGAGTCGGAGCATAGCTTTGTAAAAATTAAAAAACATCCATAGTTACAAAGGTTTGACTGGGTGTGGCTGACAGTAGCCACATGCTTTACAACAATGAGTCTCCTTTCATGCTGATTGAGAAGCTTCAAATCCAAGTAGAAGCTCCCTCAAGTGCCAAAGGCGTACCAGCTGCTTGTTTTGCCTCTTTCGAGCAATTGTGGCGCCACCAAAACTTAACAAGTATACTTGACTCTAATCTGCAACGCATCATTTCTGCACAAAAAGATGACCACCTCACCAACCATGTTGATGAAAAGCAAGCAGGTACCACAAGAGAGGGTTACATATGTTCCAAGTAAGGTATCAATGGAGAAAATTTCAACATGGGTAAGAATCACGAAACACGAAAAGGGGCATTCTCAAATCGTGCACCATTATACATAAAGCAGAAAGGAAATCAACCAATCCATTTTGAAATTCTGTGAGCAAATCCCACTTCAAAATTTGTCCTAAAAAGAACCGATAAAGCAAGAAAAGTAATGCTAATTCGTGATCCAGTATTGCACATACGCAAACATACATCCCAAGGGGCTACACTCAGAAAGATGAACATAGATAACTATGGAAGGCAAGTCAGACAAATCCAAATGCCTCAAATAATTGAGTTCATAAAAAAGGATTTCCCTTTTTCACACATCTAATTGAATCATCACTCTTGCCATGTCCATTTCCACACACTTATTAAAAAAAAAGTTGAAAAAGCCCGTCTCTTTAGCTCCAAAATTAAAAAAAAATATGGACTTCTCTTGTTTTTAGCAATCATACAAGTCATCACATATCACAACAATCAAGATAAAATTAGAGTGAAAACGAATCTCGCTTAAAAAATTTAGGGAAGATAAATCACAATGGACAACATTTTCATAACACATGCATCAAATAACAACAGAGACATGCCTTGATCTTAACCCCTTCGAGCATACTAAGAGACAATTTCCAGTAAAGATCACTACTTGACTCCAAAATGCTCATTTCCAACTTTAGGTGTGCATCTACACCAATATACAACTTAGAACGAAGCTAACATGATTGAAAATGATGGCGGGCAAGTCAGACAAATCCAAATGCCTCAAATAGTTGAGTTCATAAAAAAGGATTTCCCTTTTTCACACATCTAATTGAATCATCATTCTTGCCAAGCTCATTTCCAACTTTAATCAATTTATTAAAAAACCATACACAAAAAATGAGATAAGAATGTTACCCACCCAAGACTGAGACATTTACAAGGAACAGTTTCCAATGGGCCTGAAGCTCCCCATTGACTGAAACACCCATGAGCAACTAGCATTGAAGCTATTTGCCATTTGGTTTCAGAAAATGAGAAAATGAGCTCCAGGACCCAAATGGAAACAGAGCAATGCCTCAGCAAGAAAAACCCAGGTGGGAGATGAGGAGGGTTCAGAAGGAAAACCCTAAAGAAACCCTCCTAAATGGTGTTTTGCTATTGCGCAGCTATGACTCAAAACGCTTCCATGGTTGCTAAGGAAGGCGATCTTAAGGGCCGCGCTTTAAAACAAACGAAGCAAAATCAATACTGAGCTCAGCATCCAGAACTCCATGTTCGGATTCTGAGCCACACAAAAAACAAAAACAAAAACAAAAACTATTTAGAGCTATCACTGTAAACATTGCAGATTTTGAACAGAGAAAAACCCTAGTGGCTGAACAGACAGAGGAGGCGGGGGAAGTGACATAAGGTGGTTTATATAGGCTCTGTAGTGCGTGGAGTAACGAATTTACCCTTGCTCACTTTGGGCTGAATGATTTGAGGGCCTGTAGGTTGAGTTTCGATGTTCATATTCTTTAGCCCAGGGAGGCTAGCCCAGGTGTGATAAACTTTTGAGGCTATTTGACGAACTTGGTTTTGAGACCAGAGACCCAAGAGCTATCATTTATTTGAGGCAAGAGGCCCAGTGAAGACAAACTTTGAAACAGCACCCCAAAATTTTATGATTTTGCCCGAGACTCGGTATACACTTTGGAGATCATAAATTATAATTTTAAATTACATCTAAATAGATGTCATTTCTCAAATTTCATGATGTTTTTGTACATATTGCTCCCTTTACAACATCCTCTTTAATTACTCATGTATTAGGCTAGCTAGTTAGACTCGGAAAAATTTTGCCCTCAAATTGAAAAATAATTGATCATCACCGGACGCATTTAATTAGTCTTGTCGAGTGATTCTCAACACTAACCTAATCCGTTTGTGATCATATCGTGTTCGGATTGACTCATATATATTGTGAACTAAAAATTTTAGACTAAGTTTCCTTTTATCAATAGTAAACTTATCCCTTAGAGCAAGTTCAGCGTTGGTGCAAAACCGGGCAAAAGGCTGCTCGGGCAAGCCCAATTCGACTCCAGCGGTAGAGAACAAGCCCGGGCAAGGCATGGGACCCACCAACCTGGGCAAGCCCACGGGCAAATCTTGCCTGAGCTCAAGCCCGAAGGCGCTGATGTCACGCTGACGTCAGCGCTGATATCACGATGACGTCAGCGAGCAAAATAAATTCAAAAAAATCCAAAAAAATTCAATTTTTTTTTTATAAAAAAAACCAAAATATTATGGATGTTTTCCCTATAAATACATAACAATTTTATTCACTTTCTAAATTGTTTATATTTTGTTGCATAATCTTTTTTTTTTTCTTTCCCTTGCCCTAGCCTTCCAAGGGTGGAACCAACTAAGGCAAGGCTGCCACTATTCACGTGAATAGTGGCAGCCCTTGCATTGCCTTAGCCTTCATGGGTGGACTTGCTCTTAGACATTCGTTATAAAAAAAAAACTCACTTAATCATGAATAATAGCATTAAAAAAATAATTTGTTATTATACAACTGCTCATATATAATACATTGATACAAATAAAAGAATGACACTTCCCTCCCTGATGGTGACATTGGTGAGAGAAATTGGGCTCAGCCTTTGAGAGGCAGAGAAAGACTAATGGTGATGGAAGGGGTCAAATGAGAAGAAGTATGGGAAGTGCGATGACTTTCAAATTGAGCAGGGGACTTGGTGCTGGTGGTGGTTTTCGGTGAAGAAAGCCTTGGAAGGGTGGAGAAACATGACCATGGAAGGTTGGTCTGCTAATAGAAGGCGGAGGAGGGTTCATCGAAGGCAGTTCCTGGTGGTGGGTTCTGCCTCATTTTTTTCTTTCTTTCTTTCTTTTGTTTCAAGTTCATCTCCGTCGGAAGATAGTGGTGGTGTTTTCGTTTCTCATCTCTAGGGTTTTCTTTAATTTATTTTTAATAACTAAAATAGTGTTATGATGCAATAAAAGTAAAAAGATAATGACATCATAATTTTTAAATCAGTTTTTTTTCTTCATCCCTAGATTAAATCTAATGGTGGGTAATCACAACTTTCTTGGACCATAGAATGGGTGGGTACGGTAACCGCAAAATTTCATGTAAACCGCAAATCGGTGAGTGTCCGCAAAAAACACGGTATACACCGATTGGTTGTTTTGGGCCTAAACAATCCAAGCTAAGCAATCCCAGAAAATCCACCACCCTAACTAGGCCTGAAGAAAAAAGAGGGAGAGAAGAGATGGAAACAGACAGAGAGAGGAAGAAGGAAGAAAAAAGAAAGAGAGAGAGAGAGGTAGATAAGAAAAAGGAAAAATAAGAGAAAAAGTGAGAGATGAGAGATGGAAAGCGACGGAGAGAGGAAGAAGTAGGAAGAAAAAAAACGAGAGAGAGAGAGAGAGAGAGAGAGGGAGACAAGAAGACTGAGAGATGGGGAGAAGAAGAAGAAGAAGAAAAACGCAGACTTTGATCTCGGCGCAAAAGCAAGGCATGCGTGTTGGCATGCCCTACAAATGGCTAGCTTTTTTAATTTTTTATTTTTCTTGAGCTGTATATTATATATTTTAAATATAATACAGAACCGCATCGACCATCGCTAATTATGATTAGTTCAAAAACCGTAATTTACGGTAGGTTAGGATGCGGTTAAAATGTGATCGATAAATGCGATATTTCGGTTCACAAAACTGTTTCAACTTTGAAATGTGAGTTATATTGTCGAAACGTCATGTCCGCGAAATTGTGACCATTAATAGAAATAGAAATAGAAATAGAAAATGGAAAGTTCACTTCCGCGAAAAGGAGGATGGATGATATCTGACAGTGGTAATGCCCTGGAAAGTTCACAATGAATTAATAAAACAAATAAAAGTCAAGCATGCAATGCAAATAAAGATTCATGAATTGATTATGGGAATGGACCTGATGATGATGGTCCTCACATTAACTAACCCCAAAGTAAACGATGATGGTCAGGAGAAAAAAGTGAAGACAAAGTCTTCAAAGTACAGAGAAGAAAAGACAAATCAAAGAAAACATAAATGCATGTTTTCCTTTACTCTTGAGAAACACATGACCAAATATTTTTCAACCATATATACAATTAATTTACCAGAGTTTAGAACTTTCATTTTAAAGTTAAAGCCTTAAATTTTAAATTAATTAGCAACGTTTTACATATTGTGATCGAAAATTTTGAATATATATACCCGGATGTCGGTGTAGATTTTAATAATATATTTTCTAGGGGGAATCAAATTATTTACTTATCATAATTTTAATTTGTCAACGGAGTCAA